ATAGATGCCTCTTAAAATGTATTATCCTGTAGAAAATATATCATAAAACTTCTTCACATTAATTAAAATCATGAAGTTTAAAATAACGAATAGAATTTGATATAAAGCCCTACAATTATTATTCAGAAAATGACTGGAATCTACGGCATGTCAAACGTTGCAATATTCGATCTTTTCCATTTGTATTGTATAATTTTCCATTTATATTCTATAATTCTCCATTTATATTCTATAATTTTCCATTTGTATTGTATAATGTTTATTTGTATTCTATAATTTTCCATTTGTATTCTATAATTTTTCATTTGTATTGTAAAATTTTTATTTGTATTCTATAATATTTCATTTGTATTGTATATTTTTTCATTTGTATTGTATAATTTTTATTTGCATTGTATAACTTTCCATTTGTATTCAATAATTTTTCATTTATGTTGTATAATTTTTCATTTGTATTGTATAATTTTTATTTGTATTCTATAATTTTCCATTTGTATTGTATAATTTTCCATTTGTATTGTATAAATTTCCATTTGTATTCTATAATTTTACAATACAAATGAGAAATTATACAATACAAATGGAGAATTATACAATACAAATGGAGAATTATACAATACAAATAAAAATTATACAATACAAATGAAAAATTAAAGAATACAAATTGAAAATTATACAATACAAATAAAAATTATACAATACAAATAAAAAATATACAATACAAATAAAAAATTATACAATACAAATGAAGAATTATTGAATACAAATGAAAAATATAGAATACAAATAAAAATTTTACAATGCAAATGAAAAATTATAGAATACAAATGAAAAATTATAGAATACAAATGGAAACTTTTACAATACAAATGGAAAATTATACAATACAAATAGAAAATTATACAATACAAATGGAAAAGATCGAATATTGCAACATTTGACATGCCATAGGAATCAAGGAAGAATGGTGTTCATAACAGTCACCCGACCAAACACTCTTCAGGCTTGCAGGAGCTTAACCTGCCTGTAATCAAAGGAAACCTTACCGCATTAATAGAAAAGCTATCTCATTAGCAAAGCAGTGAAATTTACATAGAGTCCGCTACAATATGAAATGTTAATGCTTTAATGCACATGATCACCCAGAAAGGAACTAACCGCTACCTTAGTTCGCATCTAATACTTACGACAAGTTACTACAACAATAAAAGAAATGATGTGAAAAATTTCCGAAACTATTTTCAAATAGGCACAGATTATTAAACAGTGATGTACAAAAAACGCATTCATAAATTATACGCAGCTCAGAACAACAAAGCATCAATTTAAGCCAGAGGTCCATGGGCCACAAGGCTCACCTGCGTCATTTTGGTCCTATTGTTATGCATAAGATTGTTTTCCCAATCTACATGTACATGTATTCCTGTGTAAAAATTTTGATTGTCTTTTGTGGCTCCTTTCTTTACACAGAGGCAGTAAGTTGAACAAAAATGAATCATCTACCTTACAAGAGAATGCTTCCAGATTAAACTGATTAATAATGACTTTGTTGTTCTTGAGATGAAGATTTTTAAAGATTTCTCCAAATATAATCCCTGTTGTGGCTCCAACCTAAATGCACGCCGGGGACCATAAGCTGAACATTAATAATCTATATTACTTTAAAAAGCTTCCATTTCTGGTTCTTGAGAAGAATTTTTAAAAGGTTTTTTTCTTTATATTTCAATGTAAAACTTTGATAAACCATTGTGTACCCACCCTATCCGCAGGGGACATGCTTTGAACAATTTAGAACCTACGCTACCTTAGGAAGCTTCCCATATATTTCACCTTTTTGGCCCAGTGGTTCTTTTTACTGATCCCTCCCTATTTTTTGTCTTTTCTTGATTATTTCCCCATGGGAGGGCGTATGGGCTATCATTTTAACCATTTGGAGTCCCTTTCACCCAGGAATGCTTTGTACCAACTTTGGTTAAAATTGGCCTGATGGTTCTTGAGAAGTTGAAAATGAGAAAAGATTACAGACGGATGGACGGACGCCAGACAACTTGTGACCGAAAAGATCACTTGAGATTTCAGCTGATGTAAGCTAGAAATTTCATTGCAGTCATACATATCTGATATCGTAGAAAACAAATTTTATTAGTGAGTATTAAATTAATAACTTCCTGTGTCATGTATATAATTGATAATATCTATAAATAAGAAATAATATGACTATTGTATACAATATTCAAGCTTTTTTAACTATGTAAGCATGTGATCTGCGAATTCCTTTTTCTTTTTCACAATATTTGATATATTATCTTTCTCCCGTCGATGATTTTTTTTCAAATCCCAGTCGCCAATATTTCCTCGCAATAATACTTTTTCTGAGTTAACTACACTGTGTTTAATGAAAGTATTTTAAATAATTGGTAAGTTATTATAAATCTTCAGAAAAATAATAGTATCCCGTACCATATGGTGTCAAAGTGTATATAGAGCTCCCAGGTGAAAGCACCGTAGGGTTTTGTCCAGATAGACAACTTCCGCTCTTCTCTACCACCGTTACAGTGGTCCCAGATTGTGTAACCGCCTTTAATTTAATAGATGACTGATTTCAATGACCAATTACTGAATTTTTTCCGACGTTGACACAAATAGAAAAAAAAATATTTTTCTTGCATAAATTTGTCTGTTTGAATGGTTGAGCTCTTATGTCTATGGTAATTTTTTTGGTTAAACGTGTAAAACTAAAAATATTTTCAAATAAAAATAATATTTCAGAATGTATCTTTCTGGTTAGGAAGAAAAATACTTACCATACAGGTAAAGCGGAAATACGTAATGTCATCAACAGTATCTGGATTCACTACTATCACGTAAGATGTAGACCCTTTTGTCAAATAGAACACACCATAAACTTCTCCTTCTGAAATAATCATCATTTTTATATCGTTGATCATTTAGAATTGTGCAAAGTTGACTGTGAAAAGCAGATTTGGAACACCGTCATTCATATTAAATATTATATATATAAAAAAAATAGGTATTGACTCTGTTTCTTTTAACAGACTTTCCTCCATCTAAGTTCTCACTAAAATCTAAAAACTAACTTCATCTTGCATCAAGCAAAATTTAAGTCAGTTCCATGAGCTATGACTTATCGATGCGTATCTGCCTGTCTCAATTAATATTATCTTAATTTCAGATTTATTCCAGAGAAATTGTATGCATGTACTAGTAACTGTAATTAAGAAATTTCAGAGAGGCTGCTTGTGACGGTACATATTGTCGTTTTGTACATATTGTCGTCGGCGACAATATGTACCTACCCTCACTGCACATGTCGTCCATCAGTGCATATTGTCGCCGTTAGAAAAGTAACACATGTACAAATTGTCTCTGGCGACATTATGTGCCTCACCGTAACTGTACATATTGTCGCCCCACAGATAATGTTGCTTAAAGATTTCTTTTGTTGTTTTTTGATTGTTTTGTGAATGTAATTGGTGTGTGAATCACACTGACGTATCTCGTATGCTATTTTATGCAGCGTAATTGTGACGATACATTTCGTCGTTCTGTTCATATTGTCGCCGGCGACAATGTGTACCTACCCTCACTGCGCTAATGTCGTTCATCAGAACATGTCGCATGGCGCTGCACGGCAATGCTCCATATAAATATGGCCAGAGAAACCAAAAACTTTAAAAATGGTCATATACACCTAATTTGATCGCCGAAATATGGCTAAAATATTGCCGACTCGGCGTTAAACAATAATAATCAATCAATCAATCCATATATATATATGACTTATCATTGCTTTGTTGTTTTTGAGAAGATAATTTTTAAAGAATTTTCCCATATATTCCCCTGTGAAACTTTGATCGCCCATTGTGGCTCCACCCAAGGTCCGGTTTGATTTGAAGATACTTGAATCTGCACTACCTGATGATGCTTCCATATAAACAACATTAATCACGGACCTACTGCTGTTCTCAGTGGTGGATCAAGAAATTTCAGAACGGAGAGGGGGGGGGGGTTGGGCGGCTCAGAATTTTTTATTCAAGCAAAAAAAAAAAATTTAAACAGTCATTTGTATGTAAAGGTGTGTTACTGTATATGTTAAGTAAATGATTTCATTATGGAATTTTACCTCTTGACAAAATTGAGAATATATACAAATTAAACCCATAGAATTTACCAAAGCAGAAAAAAACCAAACCAGAGGGCGGGGGGGGGGGGGGGTGCGCTGGTGCTACATATGTCTGTTTTTTTAAAAGATTTTTAAAGATTTTCTCTATGTATTCCTGTATATAAAACTTTGATCACCCATTGTGGCCCAACCCTACCTCTGGAGCCATGATTTGAACAAAATTGATTTTGTTTTTGTTTTTGAATTTTTCATTCGCATGTAGACGTCACCACATGCCGGTGGAGGGATGCAAATTTAAACCTATACTTGTCACTCAGGGTCATTGAGCAGAGAGGAATCTTTTTCCCGCCAGCACCTCAAAATTGAACTTACGCTATGTAAAGAAGCTTTCACATAAGTATCATCTCTTCTGACCCAGTACTTCCTGAAAAAAATGAAAGATTTTTTTCTAAATATTCTATGAAAAACTTTGATCACCTATTGTAGCCAGACCCTTCCCCCGAGGGACATGATCTGGATAAAACTGAATCTACACTTTATAAAGAAGCATTCACATAAGTTTCAGCTTTTCTGACACAGTGGTTCTTGAGAAGATTTTTTTACTTCCCTTAAAAGAAGACATGGCAGTAGTATAAGGAGCCTAGCTGGCCGGGTCAACTGAGTGCACTTTTGGGCCCCTGGGGGGATGGCCGGGTCAACTGAGTGCAACCCCGGGGTCAAGGTCAGAGATCTGGAAAAACCTGCACGCGCTCAGCACTCACCTGGAAAAACCTGCACGCGCTCAGCACTCACCTAAAAAAACCTACCCATTATGACGTCATACACTGTATAAGTATTGCATGTGTCTGACTTGAAGCTCATTCTCTTGTCAGTTCCATCAGCTGTCGACATGGATTCTGCTATGAAAAAACTGTTATATGCCCAGCAACTGATGAGATGGAGAAGACGGGCGAAAGAGTTAGAAAGAATTATTTACAACAATAAACACAGAGAATTAGCGCTCAGAAAAAGAAATGCCAGAATATTAGAGAGAATGCAGAGAGCCCAAGTCCAACAAGAACAACAAAGGACTGTGTCGGATGAAGAACCACACTCATCAGCCCATTCACCACCCCAGAAGCCAAAGGCCATTTCCCAATATTATCAAGTGAGATCGAAACAAGCCAAGCATTCCAGAAAATTTAAAGCGCATGAAGATGTCTACAGTGTGAATTTTAAGGAATTTCCAGAGGAGGAAAACAGAGGCTTTGTTCGGCGATTATTTAGAGACATGCTGCAAAATGTCAAATATCAAATGCAGTGTAATCCTAACGATTACCTACGCCTGAACATACGCCATCCTTCTCTGGATTCCGACATTTGGTACGAGTTTACGCAATGTAAACATTTAAACGAGGACGTCATTTTAGACAAAATAGAAGCCGTGCAACAATCCAAGAAGGATTTTAAACTGGGAGACGGGGCCATGGAATTCGACATGTTTCGGGTCAAGTATCCGGAAGGGAGTGGTGGAGACAAAACCAAACATCTGATGGTGAATAAGGGGAGTTTTAAGAAGAGGAAACAATCCATCGTTCAGATCGACAATCCCTGGGATAAGTTTTGTTTAGCTCGAGCCATCGTAGTCACCCGTTTACACAGTCAAAAACCTGAACATCCAGACCCCGAATGGGAAAAACGATGGAAACGCATGAGGTTAGGAGATGTAAGAGCTAATGACCAGAAAAACGAAGCCCTAGCTCTCATGGAACAAGCCGGGTGTGATATCCATCGGCCTTGTGGACCCGAAGAATGGGGGAAATTACAACAAGTGTTAGCCCCATGCTATCGACTGAAAATATTCCAGTTCAAGTCCACCTCCTCTAAACTCACCTTAGAACCCATTTACAAAGGCTACGGAGAGGGAACTTATTTGAATGTTCTGTTAGACGACCAGCATTACGATGCCATCATATCTATGCCTGGTGTGACGGGCAATCAATACTATTGTGATCATTGCGACGTGGGCTACAGGAAAATCACAGACCATCGTACCCAGTGTCCTCACCGATGTTCCTTTTGTTTAACAGACACGCCCTGCCCTCCAGACGGGAGCCACATTCAATGTAGCCAGTGCCAGAGATTTTTCAGAGCAGAACTTGCTACGAAAACCATTTACAACCTCACAGTAAGAATACAGCCACCACGGTATGCAGTTTAATGGGACGATGTGAGCACTGTCACAAATGGATGTCTAAAAATTTACTCCCTCATCATCATTGCGGAGGACAGAAACAGTGTAAGATCTGTAAGAAAACCGTAGACACGGATCATCAGTGCTACGTTCAACTCAAGCCCGAGAAAAAGAAAAAGAAAGGCAAAGAGACCTTACAGTTCTACATCTATTTCGATTTCGAATGCACGCAGGAAACCGGCATCCACGTCCCTAACCTGTGTGTGGCACACCGCGTATGTCAACATTGCGGTCACTTACCCATAGAAGATCCCTGTCCTCACTGTCGACACATGGGACCCCGTCAACACGTGTTCCGAGGGCCAGAGACCTTAAGGCAGTTCATGGACTGGTTATTACAACCCACTACAGGAAATAAGAATTCCGCTTTATTACACGACGAGGCCATCATCATCGCCCACAATTTCAAAGGATACGACGGACAGTTCATTTTAAATTACCTGGTTCATACCGCCTGCCTGAAACCTACCGTCATCATGAACGGCAGTAAAATCTTATCCATGCAAATCTGCGGACTGAAATTCATCGATTCCTATAATTTTTTACCTTTTGCCCTGTCCAAGATGCCCTCTGCTTTCGGATTCACCGAACTGAAGAAAGGATATTTTCCACACTTTTTTAATACGGAACACAACCAGAATTACGTGGGGCCTTATCCACCGGCAGCTTACTACAATCCGGACGACATGTCTATTAGTGGACGACAGGCTTTTTATCAATGGTACGAACAACAAGCCGGAAAAGTGTTTGACTTCCAGAAGGAATTTTTAGACTATTGTATTTCAGACGTCGATATTTTACGACGATGCTGTGCTCAGTTTAGAGCCACCCTCAAGAGCTTGGTCCATGTAGACCCCTTCCAGGAATCCATCACTTTTGCCAGTGCGGCCAATTTAGCTTACCGTCGAGGATTCATGCCCAAAGAGACCATTGCCATCATTCCCAACCTGGAGTATCAGCCTGCGCGTCGATATTCCGCCAAAGCCTGTCGGTGGTTAAGCTGGATGAGTCACCAGACCGGATCTCACATCCAACATGCTAGAAACGGGGGAGAAGTCAAGATCGGAAGTTATACCGTCGACGGATACCAGGAAGCCACTCGCACCGTCTACGAATTTTACGGATGCTATTGGCACGGATGCCCCACCTGCTATCCGAATTTACAGACCGAAAGTCATCCTCACCGGACCCAATTTACCTATGAACAATTACACGAGGAAACTTTAAGACGGAGTTCTGTTTTAGAGGAAATGGGGTACTCCCTCCGTAGCATCTGGGAGCACGAATTCGATCAACAGGTACAAAGAGAGGTAACTCTACAGAATTATGTACGAGACCTGGACATTCCAGATCCTTTGAACCCCCGAGACGCCCTGTACGGAGGTCGGACTAATGCCACTAAATTATATTGTGAGGAGGGGGACATGAGATACGTGGACGTCTGTTCCTTATACCCTTACGTATTAAAACACAGACCTTTCCCCCTAGGCCATCCTCAGATCATAACAGACCAATTCCAGGACGTGAGAACTTATTTCGGCCTCATTCACTGTCGGGTCCTACCACCCCGAGGCCTCTATCACCCCGTTTTACCTTATCGCACGGGAGGCAAGTTATTGTTTCCCTTATGTCGAACGTGTGCGGAACGACAGGACTCTACCTCTAAACATCGATGTCAACACGCAGACCAGGAACGCAGTCTTACGGGTACCTGGGTGACTACAGAATTACATAAAGCCCTGGACATGGGATATACCTTAGAGCGGATTTACGAAGTTTGGCATTTTTCAGAAAGCAGTCGAGATTTATTCAGATCTTACATCGATACCTTCTTAAAGATCAAACAGGAAGCTTCTGGATTCCCACCTGATTGTCAGACGGAGGAACAGAAACTAGATTACATTCGTAAAGTCTTAGACAGAGAAGGGATCAGGATGGACCTGTTAAGTATAGAAAAAAATCCGGTGCTAAGAACGATAGCCAAACTCTTTTTAAATTGCTTGTGGGGAAAATTCGCTCAACGCCTGTTATTACCTAAAACTCGATACTTGACCGAAGAAGAGGAATTACAACAACTCTTACAAGATTCGACCATTGACATCAAAGGGATAGAACTCTTAGAAAATAAAGAGCAGGCCGAATCGGACATGATGCTGGTCAATTATCAAGAGAAACAGGAATTCGTGGAAGAGTGTCCCTTCGGAAACGTGGTACTGGCCTGTTTCACTACCGCCCATGCCCGATTACACCTCTACGAGACTTTACAACCTTTGGGAGATCGGGTCCTTTATTTCGACACGGACAGTATCATATACCAACATGAGGAGGGACAATTTAATCCTACCCTTGGCAACAGTTTAGGAGAATGGACAGACGAATTAGACGGGGACCACATTATCAAATTCATGTCAGGAGGCCCCAAAAATTATGCTTACCTCACCGCCAAGGGAAAATCCATGTGTAAAGTCAAAGGATTGACTCTCAATTATCGGGCCTCTCAGATCGTGTCACCAGAGACTTTAGAAAAAATGCTCCAGAAAGAAATTGATGAAATCCAAGTCTCGTATCCCTACAAAATACAGAGGACTCGTCAACATGAAGTCAAGACAATACCTTTAGAAAAACAATATAGAATTGTCTATGATAAGAGACAATTTATGGAAGATTATAACACTTTACCTTATGGTTATTAAAAAAAAAAACAAACTGTATTTTAAATGTGTTGTTATTTTATGGGGAAAACCCCCAAAAATGAGGGGTTATAAAAAGGGGGGGGAAATAATATAACACTTCAGTCATGGCTGGTGTTGATAAGGAGCCAGACTACCTTCCTGTTTACCCTAAATATGCTCTGCTCTTAAAGAGAGAAGCTACCTTTGATGATCGATGGCCCGATTCTTTAAAAGGATTAATACCCGACCTAGCCAAAGCCGGATTTTATTACAGAGGAGTGAGTGATAAGACCATCTGTTTTCATTGTGGTATGACTTTAAACCTCTGGGAACCTACAGACGATCCTTATGCAGAACATGCTTATTGGAACCCTAATTGTCCCTACATCAATACCTATGAAGGACGTGAGTGGGTGATGAATGTATTCATTAACCATTTACTCCGGGCGGGATACAAACCTTCACCTGAAATCAAACCTCTACTAGACCAAACCTCTACAGAGATCCAGGCCACAGGAAAATGTCACATTTGTTTAGAGAGAGAATTACAAATAGCTTTACTCCCTTGCGGACACGTATGTTGCTGTTCATTATGTGCTCCCACCTTCCGGTATTGCCCCATCTGTCGAGCCGATGTGAAGAGAACCCAGCGTATATTTCTGTGTTGACTATGAATAAAAAGGATTGAAACCCTATTTTTCTCTTCATTTGTCATCATGCAACCTGAGGAGACACTCCCGTCTTTTCAATTGAAACACGAATTTACCATGGTGGTAGCAGGACCTTCTAAATCGGGAAAAACGGAATTTGTCAAGAAATTGGTGGAAAATTTACATTGGATTACCCCCATGCCACAAAAAATTGTCTGGTGTTATCGGGAATGGCAACCTGCTTACACTTCTTTAACAGATCGGGTCTCCTTCATTCGAAATATTCCAGAAGACGATGAGAAATTAGTGGCCAATTTAACTATTCCTCACTTACTCATTTTTGACGACATGATGGGAGGAAAAGCCATCGAATCGATCGTGGATTGGTTTACCCGTAAAGCGCATCATCGGAATACCAGTGTGATTTACATCACTCAGAACTTATTTGATCGGGCACCACAGCATCGCACCATTAGTTTGAATGCTCATTATTTAGTGTTGTTTAAAAATCCCAGAGACAAATCTCAAATCAGTGTCTTGAGTCGACAGTTAGCCTTACCACATTTGATGTCGGCCTATCAAGAAGCCACCAGTGTTCCCCACGGGTATCTCCTGGTGGACTTGAATCCACAGACCCCAGACGAATACAGATTGAGAAGTCGATTGTTTGAATGGTTGACTGTACACATGCCACAAGAGTATAAATAAAAATGTACCAACATTACACTTGTCATTCATCATTATACAGTCGTCATGGGTCGACCTCTCTCGGCCAAGAGTAAATTAGTGAAAACGTTACGACGTTTACAGCGGGAACGAGATCCTGCCAAGCGAGCTCATTTAATCGAATTAGGGCGTAAAGACTTATTGAATTGGTTTGCTATGGGAGCTCGAAATTTGATACGTGGGGTCTTACCCATCAATAAACAGACTCAAAAGTTTATTAATAATCATCGTCAAGATTTAAGCATCATAGCCGATAAGTCGGCGAGTGATCAAGACAGAAAAAATGCCATTTTAAAACGCGGAGGAGCCGGATTTTTAGGCGGAGTCATCATTCGTCATTTATTTATATGGAATGCACCTAAGAAACGACGTGTCCGTCGTTTGAAAAGTGTGGTAGTCAGAGTCGATAATAAGAAACAAAGAGTGTTTCCCGATTGGATGGTGCGAGTAGGAGGAGCAGCTCAAAAGACCAGAAAGAAGAGAAAACCTCCTAAGAGAAAACCTCAAAAGAGAAAACCTACTCAAAGAAAAGCCCCTGGTGGTAGAAAGAAAAAAGAAAAAACGACTCCCAAGACTCCAGCTCAACGAAAAGCCATGCCCCAAAGTCTGAAAAACGAAATCAATCAGTATTATAAGGAACAAAGACAAAAAACTATTGGGGAGTTATTAAAGAAACAAGCTGAAATGAGAATGGATCGTCCTATGGGGCCCATAGGCAGTCAAAGAGCTACCGATTTAGAAGTGTTTCCTCGAGTCAATGTGGGAATTCCCATTCCTAGAATTAAAGTACCCATTCACACTCCTAAAATAGCACGCTTTCAACCTCTGACCGCCTCTACACCTACACTTCCTAAAGGAATGAGATATAAATGTCGATATTGTTCCAAAATCTACGTCACCCAGAAAAATAGACACAAAC